ATGCAGCATCCGGTAATGCATGCTGTGTTTAAATGATTGTGCTGTGCTTCCATGCATTTGTGTGTTTTGCAGTGTTTGAATAAATGTATGCCTGTTATGTGGCGTGTGAATGACAAGAACAGTGTATAACTATATCGGGTTAGTGCAGAAATGTTGCGCATAAATGTATAGAAAAGGGCATGAATGTGTGCAGGGAGTGAATATAGTTTGTGGTGGCATGTGGATGCTGTGTTTGAATGTAGACTGATGTGTGAAAATGCTATACAGGCATTCATGTTGTGAACAACCATAATCTGCTGATTTTCTTTCAGTCCACACAGAGAAGGCTGCACAAGAATAGTGCTATCCCATATACAAATGTATACATGTTGTTGGTATGCATCAAATAAGTCAAAGTTCCTACTTGCTGCTCACTGGAAATAGTTACTGCACTCCCTTATTAACCCTTTCATGACATGGTAGAGGAAAATACACTTTAAATCTTAACAGTCATATCAATTCATGCAGAAAATATATTAAAATAACACACACATATATAAAAAAAATAGTGTTGAATAATTAATAAGTGCACCTGTCTCTACTGTGTCATCTTAAAAAAAATAAAAAAATAGATAACAATTCTGGTGCTTCCAGATGTGATGATTAAAGGGACACTGTAGTCACTATAACCACTTTGTCTCTTTGAATTGGTTATAGTGCCTGGAGTGCCCTGGCACAGTCCCTCTATTCAGTGTTGCACCATGTTTGTGCAGTATGCCACAAAATAAGAGTCCTTGGCCACCCACAGTCCGGCCCCTTCTGTATGTGTAGCTAAGGCAGAGATTACACACTTCCTTGTTGTCATACCCATTCATACCGTCAGTTGGAGCTCTGACAGGTTAAAAGCAGTCAGCTGACACTCTCAGCCAATCACAGCTGCCCATTGCTGCTCAGGGTAATACTTCCTTATTAGCCAAAGCAGCACAGATGGGATGGACTGCCATGGTCTCTTGTTTAGCATTAAAACATTACAACATAAAAACTGTTTAATGCTGAAAGAAATGATGGCACCAGGGGACTGCATACACTATAACCAGCTTAATGAGATGAAGCAGATACAGTGCCTACGGTGTCCCTTTAAGTTAAGGTGTGGCATGTCCAGTCACCTCAGTCAGTACCATGGACAGAGGCCAGGACATACAGTACTACTATTGCTGACGACAAGGGGCCTACAGTGCTACTGAACAAAGCAGTAATCATACTACAGCACTTCTGATGCACTTTCTATTTCATAGACATAATGTAGAAAGTACATACATTTTGTTAAATGATATTTATGAAACCAAGAGGGTTGCACATCGGAACATGCATACTTATAAGGGTGCTGCAATTCATACAACATACACGATCCAGAGCACTCACTCATTCAGTAACAGTAGTTTCAAGGCTCAGAATGTAATAGTTTAATTTAAGAACACTTAACCTAGACAAATATAATGAGGGTTTAGTTACAGTATACTGTGCACACCATATTGTAACTTAACCCCCATTATTTTGCCTATTTTTAAATAAAGCAATTCCATTCTGTGAGCCTTGAAATGGCTGCTTAGTGAATGAATGAGTGTGCTATATATAAACTTTAATCATATTAAATAATGATTTAATCATAAATTGTATGGTTTAATGAAGTTCCAAAATACTCTTACCAGATTTATATCTCCCATCCTTGTGTTAGTCTACCTATTGATACATTGATTTTCTGTATTTTGCTTATAAATGGTCTTGGACATTTTTTTCTGTGGTTTGGATATTGGGACATTTAATTATCTGTGTGTGATCTTATATATATATGGTTTTATGACTTCCAAGAATTAAGTCAGCCTGCATTTTCAAACTGCGGCCACATCCTTAGAACTCTATTGGTTTAATGTGATGAGCATATCTACAAATATTTTTATAATATAGAATTGCCGTATTTTAAGAAATGAAAACTCCAAAATATTATAAATTATACTTGGGCATTTCAGAAATTTTCATTTCGTACGAATGTATTCGTACTAAAAAGAAAATAGTTTAGTCAGAACCGAAATTCGTCAATTCTTTCATTCGTTTTCGTACGATATTTGTTTTTATTTTCGTTTCGGCTAAACTCGTTCGTTCATTCGGTGCGATTTAATTGAACCAAATGAATTGAATACATAAAACTATGTTCCCTAATCCCTAAATACTGAATAGCTTCAACCGAACTCAGTAAAACCATTTGCTTCAAATGTTGTACATTGTTAACAACATGGCATTGAATGCTGTATTTCGTTTAATTTACGCCTAAAACTCCCGAACCGTCAAATGCACGAACGCTGGCATTCGCATGAAAATGTATTGGCGCTATTAGTAAACTACCGAACACCACTCACTATAGTCATTCGTATGTCGAATGGTATTGCAAATACAATGCAATCATAAAAATCAGTTCCCTAATCCCTAACGAATAGCCTCAAGTGAACGCAGTAAAACCATTCATTCGTTTACATTTTCGTATATTGATTTCCCAACACATGGCATTGAACAATGTTCTAACCTATTTACGCCTAAAACTCCCGAACAAATTCCTGAACCGTCAAATGCACGAACACTGCCATTCGCATGAAAATGTATTGGCACTATTAGTAAACTACTGAACACCACTTACTATAGTCATTTACATGTCGAATGACATTGCAAATACAATGCATTGCTTTTGCTTAGTTTCTTGGGCTTATGAATCATCATGCTTCCCTGACAGGTGGTACTGGCAACACAGTATCATTTTATAAGGGAGTGGGAAAGTAGTAGCCAATTATATAGGCTTTTACATACTGCCAGACAAAACTGGAAAAAAAAAAGTATCAACTCAAGGCAGTACTTCAATGCAAAATCTATCCAGATTTTCTATAGGCCAGCCATTCAGCCATTTTGGAGCTCAGCCAGCCCACCACCCTGTCAGCCATTTTAGGCACTTGGACACTGAGCCTGCCAGAAGTGGTCATGTCCTCCTCCAGCTCCTCAAGCGACATAGTCATGGATGTAATGGAGGGGGGCATTGGCCACTCTGGCCAGGAGGTAGGGGAAGCAAGTGGGAGAAGCAAGAAGAAGCAGAGGCAGCCCAGGATCTTAAAAGGAGCAGATCCTGGGATGAAGAATAAGTATGCAGATAGCTTTCGTCCAGAGGATAATACAGTACTGGTAAACAAGCTTTGCCAGTACTACCAATGTATATTTGGGGGGGCAGCCAAAAAGAGTTCAAGAGCAAAGAAGAACAATTGGTGGAGGAAGATTGTGGCAGCGGTGAATGCTGTTGGAGGGAACAACCGCACCCAGGACGTGGTGAAGAAACGGTAAGTGCACTTATATTCCTAAAAAATAATTTTCTTTATGCCATGTTTTTTAAAACTTATTTTTTTCCTCCATGCGCTTTTGCTACACACCCCCACCTGTGGCAGCTATGCTTTTAAAGTCTTTTAAAAGTGAGGGTACATGTTTACATTCCTGTCACTATAACTGTGAAAACACAGTTTAACCTCCCTCTCAGCAATGTAACTGTAATTAAAGGGACACTCCAGTGCCAGGAAAACAAACCGTCTCCCACCCCTCATGCTGCCACCGGCGGGGTGAGACCTAATGTGCATGCGCGGCAATGCTGCACATGCACAGTAGACCTCCCCAGAGGAAAGCATTGAAAAATGCTTTCCTATGGGGGTTTCAGCGACGCCACTAGAGGAGGAGTTAACCCTGCAAGGTAAATATTGCAGTTTATGAAAACTGCAATATTTATTTACAGTTGCAGGGTTAAGGGTAGTGGGAGTTGGCACCCAGACCACTCCAGTGGGCAGAAGTGGTCTGGGTGCCTGGAGTGTCCCTTTAATTACTCATCCTTATAGCAGAGCTCTGCTCTGCCTCCTTGGCTGCGATCTTCATAATTGACAAGATCAGCAAATCCAATGCTTTCCCATAGGAAAGCATTGAGAGGCTGTCATGTTGCAAAACGCTGCTATTCTATCAGATATCTATCAGATTTCTTTATTGACGTCACTTCCGGTGCCCCCATGTCACCAGAAGTAATGCAAGATCAGCTGCGCGCTAGCAGGCCTCGAGGTATAGCATTCTGGTGGAGGCACCGCGAGCATGTGTGCCGCCTCTGATGATGCTCGATCAGCTGGGCCTTTAATCTGAAGGGTGTACCGCGCATGCGCTCGGCACATCCTTCAGCTACAGCAATCAGATGGGTGTACTGTGCATGCGTGCAGCACATCCATCAGATATTGCAATCTGATCTACAAATCTGACGGATTTCTGTACCACAGCTTTCACTGTGTAGTAGCATACACAGTGTAGGCAAATGTGGTGTTAAATAAGGGAGATGCACGGTTAATGGGGGTGACACACAGGGATAGGGGGTTAATAGGGGTGATACACATGGGATGGGGGATATGGAGGAGTGACCAAAAGTTGCCTAACAACCCAGAATTCCCTCTAGTGGCCGTCTGGTAGCCAGCCACTAGAGGTGGAGTTAACACATAAAGATAATCATTGCAGTTGCACTTGCAATAGTTACCTTTACACGGTTAAGGGAACTGGGACACGGAACCCAGACCACTTCAATGCGCTTAATTGGTCTGGGTGCCTATAGTATCCATTTAAACATGTCAGTAAACATATATATAGAAACATATTAAAGTAATTAATCAATTACACATGTCATTGCAGTTACTACGACATCAGGCGGATGGTGAACAGGAAGGTGAAGGCAGCAGCCACCTCCAGGAAGACAGGAAGCAGTTCACAAGAACCGGACCTGCTGCCCTATGAAGAGGAGCTCCTGCAGTTCCTGGGAAGAGACAACCTCCTTGGGATTGAGGGGACAACTGGCGCTAAAACATCTGAAGGTACGATGTTAAAGGACCACTATAGTGCCAGGAAAACAAACTCGTTTTCATGGCACTGTAGGGTAATTAGGTCCCTCCCCACCCTCGTGGCCCCCTTCCCACTTCAGCCACTTACCTTTCTCCAACCCCTTCAGCCACTTACCTTTCTCCAGCGCCGGGCTCCCTCGGCGCTGGGGAACACTCATCCCTCTGCCGACGTCAGCTCCGAATGCGCAGCAAGAGCCGTGCGCGCATTCAAACCACCCATAGGAAAGCATTACTCAATGCTTTCCTATGGACGTCCAGCATCTTCTCACTGTGATTTTCACAGTGAGAATCGCGGAAGCGCCTCTAGTGGCTGTCAGTGAGACAGCCACTAGAGGCTGGATTAACCCTCAGTGAAACAGCAGTTTCTCTAGAACTGCTATGTTTTCAGCTGCAGGCTTTAAACTAGAGGGACCTGGCCCTAGACCACTTCATTGAGCTGCCTATTGTGGTCCTTCAAATTCATATTTGTTAGTCGAAATGTACATATATCAGTTTGCTTGTGTTAACCTTCCAGTGTGTGTTTTCTATGCCATCAGTGCAAGCCCCTCAATCCCCAGAAGAGGCACCAGGAACTGCAGGAGATGCTGTCTCCACGGAGAGCAGGGCAGCAGGTTCACCTCATGTCTCCCTGGAAATGCGCCTGGCTTCACTTTCCTCTCGTTAGTACTTGCATAGCATTGTTAGATAAATGTTATGTGTGTGTGTGTGCGTGCGTGCGCATTTAAACATACACACACGTATGTGATATTACTGTATATGAAGTTAATTTATCACATACATGTATTTCAGACCATCCGCAACTTGTCGACGTTCCTTCACCACGTACGAGTGTGGTTTCCCTCCAACAGCCGGCCACTGGTGTCCAGGAACAGGGATCCACTGCTGAGTAAAAAATGCTTTAACTGTACACATTTTCTTGCAGGCATATTAGTTTATGTAACAGGCAGGGCTGGGTCGACCGCTAAGCATACTAAGCGTCTGCCTAGCACGCACTGGCCAGGGGGCTAAATGTCTGGGTGACCAGCAGGGGAGGGGGGGAGCTCACATCGCTCCTCTCCTTCTGTTCACTTTATGTACTGTGGCTGAGTGGACCACGTGTGATCTTATCTACCATCTACTTGGCCTGACAGGAAGCTGAGTGCAACGATCAGCTTCCTGTTATGCAGAAGAAACAGGAGATTCTCTACCTGGGGACGCTCGTCCACGATACATGTAGTGAGATTAGAAGGAAAGGGAGGTGGGCACAAAGACATGCAAAGAGACAGAGAAAGGGCTAGGGGGGACAAAGATGCATAACTATACTTAGACATAATAATAAATTAATAGCATGACTGCATATATCTTATTTCCAAGTTTAAATAATATTGTTGTACAGATAATAGTAAGCATTGCAACATATGACACATGCTAACAATGTTGTTTCTCTGTTCTCCCCTATAGGTTCTGATGGTACTCTCCCCCTGCAAGAGGAGGGTACCATTACCCTAACAGCAGTGGATCCTGATTCAGAGACATCAGTGGCCGAAGAAATGCAGTTGCCACAACTCCCTCCACCATTGGCTGCGCTGTATGCGACGATCCAGGCTCGTCAAGCTGAACTGGAGACGTCCATACAGCAGGATAGGGAGAACCAGCGAGAACTATTGCAGAATGTAATAACCGAGGTACGCTCCATGTCGATCATTTTGAATGAGGGCGTTAGGCAATTTACATCAGCAATGGTTTCCTTGGAGAAAAATATGCAGCGCTTTATGGAAATGAGGGTGGAAGAGTGCATTCTAATGCGCGCGCAAGCTGCCCATAATTTGGGCATAACCATCGCTGATGTAGATAGCCTAGTTCGTGAACGACATGCGCAGGGTCTTCCCAGAAGGGATGATGATGATGATGAATAGATATCTGTGGGAAGAATGCACTCAGATGTTTATTTTTCATTATCATCCACAATTTGAACACAACTGACGCTGTTCATCGTAGGTTGTTACATTCTCAATTTCCTCCTGGTTTTCCCTATCCTTCCCCTGAATATACATTGGTTCATTCTCCTCTGCACTATATCCTCCCAGGACTGCTCCTAACAACCTGGGCTGCCTCTGCTTTGTTGCTTCTCCCACTTGCTTTTCTAATTAAAAAAATATTGGATTACAACTTCTGACTCCTCTTTTCTTTAATAATTTATATATATATATATATATATATATATATATATATATATATATATATATATATATATATATATATATACACACACACACACACACACACACTTCAACGAAAAATATCACTATATATATACCTATATATAAATAAAAATAATTACAAAAAATATATATACACATAAAGCAAATAGTGAACAGAGCACTCCTTAGGAAACTTTCAATTGTGCATTTAAGTAATCTTGATTACTTATTACATACATGATTGAAAATTTCCTAAGGAGTGCTCCATTCACTATTTGCTTTATGTTTGGCGCTGGAAGCACCCAGGTATTACAAGTTATATTTTTTAATGATGGTGAGTATCGGAGGTCGGATTATATATATATATATATATATATACACAAATACGTATATATATATATATATATATATATATATATATATATATAATAATTCTATGTATATATTAATGTAATAGTTTTACATAATTAGGTCATTTTATTAATTACAATTTGCAGGACCTGCCTGACAACCCAGGCCAAAAGTCCAGGGAATTTAATTTGCTAGCACTGTTTTCAACCCTGTAACTTTCTATGACACCATAAAATCTGTACATGCGGGGTACTGTTTTACTTCGCTGAACACAAATATTAGTGTTTCAATGTATTACAACGATGCTATCGTCAGTGAAAGTGACATTTTTTACACACAAATGGCACTTACCTGGACAAGATAATTGTTGTGATACGTTTTACTGTTTTGAAACACTAATTTTTGTGTTCAGCGAAGTCTCCTGAGTATAACAGCACCCCTCATGTACAGGTTTTATGGTTGTAACTGATCGACGAGCACCCTGACTGGGTACCTTCGTTGGAGGATGCTCCTAGCACTTACTGAGGGCTTCCAGCACTCCAGCCGACACCATAACCACCGTAGACTCCTTCAGAGCGCAAACCAGGAACATGGTCTTACAAGAGTTTAGAAGTGATTATAGCAAGGGAATATGCAGAGCATAGCAATCCCTTGTAGCAGATTCCCCCAATAAGTGACAGGACTCAAATTGAGGGTGAAGAAGAACTGAAGCTTTTAATGAGACACTGCTTTTATGCATATTTTGCACACATAGTACTACTCACAGGGTTTTGTAAAACAACCAATCAATACGTACAATACACTCAGACACTCCCAGCAATTACAGACAAAATCCTCCCCTCTGCCTGTGATATAATTACCTTCCACAATGTAATTATCAGTGGCAGAGAAATACAGTTTTTACACATGTACTATAACTTTAAAACTATACAATCAATATTCAAAAAAATGACATTATTATTCAGCATACTTTAATTATAAACAGTCAGAATTCAGCCAATTCCATGCAGGGGTTAAAAAGATAGCTGGAGGTCCCTTTATGACCGACCGTAAGCACATTTTCATGCCCAAAACAGTTCCATAGATTTGGGCTGTGCGTTCGGTCAATTTGACACTGAAAAAATGAATGGGACTTAGTCTCTGCGGCTGCAAAATCACTGTAAGAGAAGGTAGGGCTCAGCGGTGTTCACGGAAGTGTGTAGCTGATTTGAGTTCCATGAATTCGGCTACACACACCGCTGACCGCATTGAATGAACAAAGATGGCCACCGCCACGTGTTCGTTTGCGCGAACGGCGGCCCCCCAGCGTTTGGCAATTTACCTAGAGCAGGCAGCCTGAGAGGTAAATTGCCTGCACACTTCCACTTCTGGGTGGTCCGACTGTGTGGTACTTGGTTCAGTAAGCCCCATTTACTGAACCAAGTGGGAGAAAGCCAGGAACACAGTATATTAACAGTCTGGGGACAAAGTCTTAAAGGACCACTATAGTGCCAGGAAAACATACTCGTTTTCCTGGCACTATAGTGCCCTGAGGGTGCCCCCACCCTCAGGGACCCCCTCCCGCCCGGCTCTGGAAGGGGGAAAGGGGTTAAAACTTACCTTTTTCCAGCGCTGGGCGGGGAGCTCTCCTCCTTCTCTCCTCCTCCGTTACTCCTCCTGGGCTGAATGCGCACGCGCGGCAAGAGCTGCGCGCGCATAGGAAAGCATTCAGAATGCTTTCCTATGGACGCTGGCGTGCTCTCACTGTGAAAATCACTGTGAAAAACACACAAGCGCCTCTAGTGGCTGTAAATGAGACAGCCACTAGAGGATTAGGGGGAAGGATTAACCCATTTATAACTGCTATGTTTATAAAAAAATGGGTTAACCCTAGAAGGACCTGGCACCCAGACCACTTCATTAAGCTGAAGTGGTCTGGGTGCCTAGAGTGGTCCTTTAAAGGGGCATTGTTCCCAAAAGTCACAATATGTCCCCAGATGGTTCTTAAAAGGGCATATACAGTCCAATAAAAGTCCATTCACTGTGCTTAAAGGGCCAGTAGCCGCACAATAAAAATCTATTATGCCTAAATATGTTCTTAAAGGGCAATACATCCCAGGGGCCGTAGTCACAGGGCAGGAGGCGGGCAAGCAGGCTCCTCCAAAAGCTCATGGCAAACTCCCTTAAAAGGGTGAGTTTGCTACAATGGGGTTTTCAAAAGTTACTGAGTCAAATATAAGGCTTGCATTTCAGTTTTTTCACATTGAAATTAGCCAGATTGGTTATGTTGCCTTTGAGACCGTATGGTAGCCCAGGAATGAGAATTACCCCCATGATGGTATACCATTTGCAATAGTAGACAACCCAAGGTATTTCAAAAGGCGCATGTCCAGTCTTTCTTAGTAGCCACTTAGTCACAAACACTGGCCAAAATTGGCAATCAGATTAGTTTTTTGCATTTTTCACACACAATCAAATATTAACAATAACTTTGGCCAGTGTTTGTGACCAAGTGGCTACTAAAAAAGACTGGACATACCCCATTTGCAATACCTTGGTTTGTCTACTATTGCAAATAATATGCCATAATTTTCATTCCTGGGCTACCATACGGTCACAAAGGCAACATAACCAATCTTGCGAATTTCAGTGTGAAAAATGTTACATGCTATATTTGACTCTGTAACTTCCAAAAACACTATAAAACCTGTACTTTGGGGGTACTGCTATACACGTGAGACATCGCTGAATACATATATGTGTTTTATTGCAGTAAAAGCAAACCGTATTATGACATTCACAGTTAAAATGTCATGCAGAAATAAAAAATAAAAAATCTTATTTTCTACCATTCTTTAATATATTATTCATATTAAATTATGTTTTATACCTGTGA